TGTGTTGACGCACAAAAGTGAATTTATACACAACCAAATCAATTTGCGTCTGATATAAAGTAATTAATGAAACAGTTAATGATAAAGGACAAAGATTAGGTGATTCAGTCTAGGGACCTAACCACCAAAGATGACAATGGTGGCTAGAGAACTCTATTAATGAGAGATTACAAGACTTTTAATTATAGAAGAGAGAGCACACAAAAAAGAGATGGATCCATTGGGTGAGCTGGATTAAGTAACGTATCATTCAAGTTTTGATCGCCCTCCAATGCTTCACATGGATTCCTCGTTTCTTTATGAATCGAAGGGGGTAGGGGAACATAAGGTAAACAAGGTGATACCTCATGTGTCTTGCACTTATCACCATCGCATGTTGCGAAGGTAAGAATAAGAAAAAAGGGAATCATTGGACATGCTAGGATTGTGTTTAACAAGACAACTACACTGAGTTGACAAATGAAAGAAAGAATTGAAAGCATTTGGATCTAGTAAGAGAGAGAGAGAGAGAGAGAGAGAGAGAGTATGCTCAAGGTGAGGTGTATGTTCTTTCATACTCCTATGTGTAAAAGGCTTATAAGTTATAGGTACAGAGCTTTAGTTGAAGTGGTGACGTGAGGGTCAATGTACTAATTTATCGAGGAGGAAAGCTACAATTAGGGATATGCACTATCTTGAAGTAATGACTATTTCGATAATTGCTCTCCCATGTACATTTACTCCCCCTAGACTCTTGATCTCTAAATTGAACTAAGGTCATGAGCTAAGTCTGATCTGCTTTTGATGGTCTGAGCTTAACCCATGAATTAGGTCCAAGTTTGGTCTAAATATGGGTTCGTCATGTGGAACTGTTATACCATTGCTGACATAGTTTAACTATCCAATAAGAAAAGAATAAAATGGATAAAAGAGAACACATTTTCTATCATAGAAATGATTATGTTATGTTTTATAATTAGGGGTAAGTTGTGCCTGAAGATACAGTGTAATGTAAATGGTTTTAAGAGGAACGTTGATGGCTGTTAGATGAGTTTATTTGAGACCGTCGAATGGATTTATTGAAACTTGCCCTGTTTTATATTGTTATAATTATAAATGGTTGGGTGGTTATGAGTTTTAGTGGGATTTACTTGCTAACTAGTTGTTGCATACGTGTGTTGCACGTGAATAATTTTTAGTTATATATATGAGTTATAATTCATACAACTTATTAAAATAAATTTATATATAAATCTATCTTCAAAGATTAGGTCAAATCAAATTAACAGAAAGTGTAGGCACATAATTATATTATAAAAATTAAGAACAAATATTGTAACTATTTATCATTCCATGTATTGTTTTTTAAATTTTTTTGCTTATTTGGGTTTGAATCAATTCATGCGGCCGTGCATGCAACTGGTACAAAACATTCTTGTATTTTATGGGAAAAAGGGCCATAATTACTAAAAATGAAGAAATTGGTGCCAAAAATGTGAAATACAACTACTAACCCATGTTTCTCTAACCATTAGACTACCAACCATTGCTCATCAGAGTATACCAAAAAATCACTGCTCATCAATCATCATCTCAACTGTAATTGGCAATGACACTTTGTGTGGTTTGTCTTCTTTCTTCTATTAGCGTTGGTAGGAAATATGCAGTTCATGCTTTATAACTCGACAAATTCTTTCTCTCTTTTTTTTGGCTCATCTTGTTTAAGATTAAAATTTTCATCCTTTATATTTCTGGAACATGGTATAATATATGAAACCAGTATCAAGAGTCAGGCCATCTCCAACGATATATTCGTATAAAAACTGATTAGGTCAAGCTACCAATTATTACATCTATGTCAGTTCCAAAAACATATACCTTCAACAAGGGGAATAGTCTTTCACACACTCAATTTGATTGGAGCATTGTCTTTGCCTATGAGTAATACAAATACAATTTTTAGTGTTTAATTAAAATAAATTCACTAACCAAAGTTAGAGTTGTAACCTTCATTTGTGCTTGAAGTTTCTCTGTGGAGTTTCAAAAGAAAGCGACAGATCAAGGCTTCAATAAGAAGAATATTCAAAGGAGACATAATTGGAAAAAAAAAAAAGAAAAAAAAATGTAATTAACCAGCCAAAAGTGGAGGTATCCATGAAGCATTTTTATAATGGGAAAGTATGTCTTTCTAAGTCCCAATCGATATTTGCATCAGAAGAATGGAGTCCCAATATTTGGATAATTGAGCTTATTTGCTTCCGATTCTACCATTGCAAATGCCTTTATTGCCCTTGTGAACCATCTGCACCAATATCAAAAGTCAAATACCACTCACTCGCGAACTAAGAATATATTCTAATGAAATCACTTTTGTGGTGTTTCATAAGCAACCCATTTTTTTGTAACACCAAATGAACAATCTCAATAGCTCCAAGGGTTGTGTTGTATTTACAACCATTAGTTTTTGTTTTTTGATTCTTTGATTCCATTCAACCTATGGTCATCCCAAAACATCCATGGACCAAGAAATAGGAGATGTCTAAACATGAATTACAATTTTAATACCTGCAATGATAGAATCTTCCTACATTTTGATATGGTTAGCAGAATTTCCATATTGGGAACTTTCTACTTGAACCAGATCTGTCTATGTTCTCTGCATTGAACAATACCTATTAATTTTATTTAATTGTTCCAAAATTAATAGACAATTATATGTTTGAGTTTGTAATTTTGGTTAAGGATAAATTAAAAGTAAAAGTTTTCTCAATATGTCCTTGCAAACATAAAAAACGTAGGGCCTCTAGTGTCTGAGTTGGTGACCACCATTGACATTGTGAACATCAATTAATGCATGTCTTTATGGCTAATACTGAGTAATGTATGATAAAAATATTATGAAAACAAAAATTGGTGTGTTGTGTCAATGTTGGTACACAAAAAAGATTGGACAGATGATGATATCCATTGATAACACCTACATAGTAATCAAAGTAGTTGAAGCAAAATATTCAACCAAAGCCTTTTTAGATTCAGGTCTATACATTAGAAGAACAAAACTAGAAGAACAAAACAACACCATGCAGCATAGATTCATGTAAGAAAAATTTATGAGTGGATACTGAGAACAAAGTATGTACAAGTATTTTTACTTTCCGTTAAGTATAGATTTGTTTAGTTTGGTCTCAATATAAGATAATATCCCTCTTAGCCTTAGAACAATAGAAGAGATTGAACCAAATGGTTGTTGAGAGACCCACATTAGTTTTTTTTCTTTTTGCCTTAACTATCAACATCTTTGAAGGAAGCCAAAGCATGAAATCCCTGAATGGAAGCCCCAATAGGTGACTACTACATTAATCGATAATTGATTCATAGAAGTTGTTGAGTCATAGTTCCTCACTTTGTGCTGTGAAAGAATGGACCTATCACACTGCTTATAAAATGCAAACTATGATTGTGAATGGGTCTAATTAAAAATCAATATGATATGAAAGTTTTACTTATAGATACCTCACTCAACCAATTCTTACCCTCGCTTATACTCAAATTTCATGAAGATGAATATTCAAGAAGATATTACAAGGTCTTTTTATCTCCTCATTGGGAATCTAATTAGCAAGAGTATCACTACCAAACCAAAGCCACCTGTGTCAAAAACTGAAATATTTTGCCTATATCACAAAACGATTCCAAGATTTTGAATACACAAATACAATTGCATAAATTCCAAAATACAAATGACCCAAAATAAAGGAAAAGCCTGAAAATTAAGGAATCACAAAAATTTGAAGATTCATCTCTCAGCTAGAGCATGTCACAGAATGGTTACTCTCCATGTTTGCAACAAAAAAACAAAATACCATCTTCCGTCAATTAAAAAATATGAAACCTCAAAGAAAAGATCGAAGCCATTTGACACAAACACAATTAATATTGGAGAACCAAAAGAAAACAAGAATACCCAATAACTTAAATCTAAAGCTTGTATTCAATAAGAGAGCATCTGAACATATTTCAATCCGAGGTAAACAAAAAAATTACAACACCCACAAGAAAGCTGAAAAGAGCACAAATTCAACACAGTCAACAAGGGGGAGATAGAGGGGTGATGATTTGGTTTAGTGTGCTGAATTGTGAATAAACATGTTTGAGATCGAGTAAGAGAGATGGCTAAGAAGACAAAGAGAGGCGGTTGATAAGAGGAAGAGAGAGAGAGAGGGTAACGATTAAGAAGATGAAAGGTTTTGGGCTGAAGTAATTTAGGTTTGAGCAATACTATATATTCCAAATTTGTAACTCAAATTTTTATTCCAAATCAAATAGATCATTGAATTAGTGAGTCCCATTTAAAAAAATTGATGGTACATATTTATCCAATGATCCTCTTTCATTTGGGATGAAAATTTGGGTTACAAATTTAGAATATATAGTATTTCCCTTTAGGTTTATTGTGACATTAAATTAGAGGATAAGTATGGTGTAATTGTAGTGTTAGAGGATAAAAGTAGAAAAAAAATATTTTTTATATATGTTGATATTTTAAAATAGTATAAATTTGTTTACTTATTAACGGACAATTATATCCCGTGATACTATTTGATGTAATGTAAGAGTTATACCCAATATATTTTCCTAGATTAAATCTGGTTGGTTGAAAACTTGAAATGTGGTGAGGCATTAAACACAATCAAAATTGACAAATTTTGTAATGGAAAGGAATCGGCGAACAATTTCGGATTCAATTTCCTCACAAAGTAGAATTTGAATAAGAATAAAGCTTAGATGGCTATTCCGTAATTTAACACGAATCCAAAGATAATTTCTTTTCCACTTTTTTTGGGTTTTCGAATTTCATACTCCTAATCCTTTTCCTATTCCCAATCCAAACCACCCAACTACGACACACGTTATGCAATCTCAACCGTCCATTCCTCTCCTGAAGATCTCATCCGTCTCTTCGCCGCCCCAACTGTCTATATAAAAGCCTAGCCCCAACAATCGCCCCCAATGCACCGCTTCTGAATCAGAAGAGCTAAAGGGCCACGGGAACGAGAAATCGAGAGTTCTAGTGAGGGAAACGAAAAATAAAACAAAACTCTAGAGAGAGGAAATTGAATAGTTTTGGATCTACGCCGATGATCGAAACATCGACGGCTTTAATTTGCGAATTGATCTCATATTACTAGGGTTTCGATTTTAATTGACCGTTAAGGCCTAGTTGTTTCTTTTTGGGTTTTTATTTTGGAATTAAATTTAGAAAATTTCAGTTCCGGTATCCGATCAACGGTAATTTTTTTAAAGTTTTTTTCGTGCTTATTTTCGATTGGTTGGGCTTGTTTTTGATTGATTGCGTTTGAATATAGGAATGAACGATCAATCAAAGATGATGAATCAAGCGAATCAGATGTTGAGTATGAGTCAACAGCAGATGTTGAATCAACATCCATCTCAGGTAATGAATCAGAGGCCTCACTTGCTAAATATCAGTGAGTCGAGTCAGATGATGTTGAATGAGTCTCAGCCTCAAGTACAGGCTCCGACGATGATGATGATGAATCAGCAGCAATCTCAGCAGCCTCAGATGATGAATCGAAGCTATGGCATGTGGCCTCCTCCTATGGATCAGGTCATGTTTCAGAACCCTATGAACCCTCCTGCCAGCTTTGTTTCTTCAAAACAATCGATGCCCTTGGGACCACGAAGCAATTGGAAGGGGAAAAAGGGAAGTGACAAGCGACAAGATGGAAGAAGAAAGGAAAAAGCTTTTATAGCTGGTACTAGCAGTGTTGTTGTTGGTGGTGGTGTTGTTGGTGGAGGAGGGGGTTATAAGCCACCTACCTTGAAGGATTTGCAACAACAGAATCGATTAAAAGCCCGGAAGTTTTATTCGAAGAAGAAATTTAATAATAATTATAATAACAGATCAGCTCCATTCGCTCCTCGGAACACAACGTCGTTCTTAATTCGGGCGAAGAAGTCTGGTGGGATTGCTTCTCTTGTTTCTCCGTATCCTGTGACTCCAGCTGTGCTACCAACACCGATATTTTCGCCATCGAGGGAGGTTTTGGTAGATATGGCGAAGGAAGAGTGGGGGGTTGATGGGTACGGGTCGATGAAGGGGTTGATTAGGTTGAGGTCACCGGGGAATGATGTGGAGGGGCATGAGGATGATGAGGAAGAGGAAGGAGGGTCGAGTGAGAGTGATGTGGAGGAGCATGTAGAGGTGGAGAGGAGATTGGATCACGATTTGAGCCGTTTTGAGATGATTTATCCGAACTACAGTGGTGAGTATAATAATGTTTTGGAGAATCGGGTGGATGATCAGGATTCCCATATAGGGCAATTGGAAGAAGAGAATTTGATTTTGAAGGAGAGGCTCTTCTTGATGGAAAGGGAGTTGGGTGATTTGAGGAGGAGGTTGAACTGCCTTGAGAGGCAGAATCATGGAGTGGAGGAAATTAATGAGGAGGTGGTCGACAATGTGTCTGAAAATGAAAGCGAGAGCCGTGGGGAGGGGCCCTCGATTGAGGGGAACAATGAGGAGATGGTGGAAGGGAATAATGAAGGGGGCTTAAAAGTTGAAGCAAAGATGGGTAACACTGATGGGAGTGTTGAGGCCAAGGAAGAGAACAATAATGCTAATGTTAAAGCCCAGGAGGATAATGATGATGGAAAAGATGAAACCGAGGCAGATAGCAAGACTGGAAACCTTGAAGCCAAGGAAGAGAACAATGATGGAAATGTGGCTTCGGAGAATGAAGTCGTAGCAGATGTTTTTATGGAACAGGTTGCACATGCACAGGATGAGATGATTGTAGACAATGGGTCTAAGGATGAGGGAAGAGGAAATGGGTGCTCAGAGAAGGGCATTGGCGTTGGTCTAATCTAGTTGTCCTGGGTCAATGTAAATCTCTTCTCTGAACATATCTTCCGCATATATGAGATCGTTCGATTTATGCAAACACTGGAAATACGCCTTCTCAGTATATGTCCATATTTTGCTCTTTTTTTTTTTGGCTGAACTGGGAGCTGGCTTCCTATGCAATATATGGTCCCATTTGCCTTAGCAATTTCATTAGTAGGTAGGGTTTAGTGTTTTGTATTTTTCTTTTCTGTGGTTTTCTTGAACTTCTTCTGGGGAGGGCTCGCATGGGGTCATCTTATTAAAGACAAATTTGTACTTTCACATGCTCTGGGAAATGAACCTCTGAATTTGAAATTTGTGCTTAGTGGTTATGATTTACTGGTGCTCGCTCTAATTTCAATTTTGTTAATGTGTTTACATATCTTGTCTGCTAAGTGATAAAAGATCAGTTTACAGTGAAATTGTTGTATTACCCGTCTGTTTGTAATAATGTTACAGACCGGACAACTGATTTTGGTTCTTGCACTGAAGCTAAGCTTGTTTTGGATGAACGCATACTCATATGGTGAGTTGTTGCCTGGCAAACACACAAGGATCATACTTTGTTGTTTATCCAATAAGGAGTCTGAACTGTCTAAATTTGGTATTTGGTGGCATGTGGATTCATTTGTTAAATACTCTAAAATCTGTAATTTTTTGAATGCCAAACTTGGTGAATAGCTCAGTGCCAGCAATCAACTTTCTTGCAAAACTAATGAAGCTAATGGTTGGTAATGGTGAAACTGTGGGAAATAGTTTGGAGTTTCTGTTATGCACACTATTACTATGGTACACGTTTAAAGGAAAAAATTGCTATTAATTTTTCCCTGATCTGCATTGATAAGTAAAAGCAATGACCAGCTGTAAAGAGTAGATCGGTATTTTAATTGGATCATAGATTAAAGGGTTGAGGAGTCTGACTACATAAGTTTCTTCTTCTAGGAAGATCTCATATCTGAATGCAATTGTTGACATTACATCATTCGGAATTTGAATTTTTTCTCACCAAAAATAAACATTGGAGTTTTTGGTATGCTGATTATTTATTCTTTCCTGGTTCAACTATTGGTATTTTTGTGTATGTGTATTGTATATTTGCATCTTAAGTGTCTGTACTGTATTGTTGCTTCAAAATTAGTCCTTTTAGTTTTAGACCTCTGTTAGCATTAAACGAAAATACTTTTGGTTCTTCATTGATTTTGAAAGGGCACAATATGCATAGTGAAAAGGGCAACATGGTGAAATTTGGAAGCCAGAAGGATCAATATTTATCTTCACTGAAGCTGAAATAGAAGCAGCCGACCGAAGTTACTAACAGCAGGGACGGTAAAAATTTGCCTTGACCAAAGTCATATTCTGCTGTAGGTTGTGGCTGGTTCTCATAAAATTAACTTTGTTCCAAAGCTTCATCAAATCCCTTTCCTCTTATAACTGATATTTTCCAGTTGGCAAAGCAGCTTCCATGCTTTTACTGTCGGTATCCGCCACTGAAATCTTGATTTGTCTGGACTGAGCTTGCCAGGTTTGCGAATCAGTGAGATCATAATTTTGGTTTTTTGGATGGTTACATTTTGCATTAAGCTTCATTTAGGCACCAAAGCTGAAACAGCCTTTATTGCGCTAGAATTACTAAACTGATCAAACTTGGAGCCCAAATGATGTGGTAAACCAAGACAACCAATGGGTTATTGTTGGGAAAAAAAACTTGCCACATCATTTGATCCACAAATTTGGTCAGAGTAGCATTGTTGTAACTACACAAGTGTACTCTGTTGCTTGAATTTTAATTTTGTAAATTTCCTTTGTAAGTCAAGCTCTTAGTGTTGGTCTGGGAAGAGGTGCTGCAGCAAGTCTCCTTGAGACAAGGTGGCGGGTTTAACCAACCCGACTTGTGGACGCATGTTGGTGAGCTAGTTAAAAGAAAGAAGTTGTGCCTTCACTAACACCTGTTGGTTTAGTGCAACTATAAGCGCTTTGATTCAACAATTGGTATTAGAGTAAGGTCACAAGTTCAAGTCCCTGGCCAATTATCCCCGGGGGGGAGGGGAATTGTTGGATTGGAAAGAGGTGCAGTAAATCTCCATGAGACTCAGTGGAGGGTTTAATCAACATGATTCATGGGCGTGTGTTGCTGAGCTAGTTAAAAGAAAGAAGTTGCGCCTTCACTAACACATACAAGTTTTGGTGCAACAGTAACCACTTCGATCTAACAATTAGTTATGAAAGTGAGTAGACATCTGTGACAAGGTCTCTATACTAGTAGAGGGACATGTTACTCTTCATGCATATATTTGACTTTTTGTTTGTGGAGGGGGGGTTTTCCTCTGACTAAGCTTTCAACCATTTAAATTTAATTTGGTACTTTGTGGTGGACCTATGCTTCCATAAATATGTATTTATGATGAAGGTATGTTGGATCCTAGATTGAAATAAATTTATTAAGGATTTTGTTTATAGTATCTAAATAGTCCATCTGTCTTGGTGGGTCTATGTTTCTGTGAATATTTATTTATGACAAAGGTGTGTTAAATCCTAGATTGAAATATATTTATTAGGGATGTTGTTTACAGTATCTAAATATTGCATCTGTATTGGTTTATATCAACTATGTAGTACATCTGTATTGTGGTCTTGAGGAGGAGTGGGCTAGAAGACCTGGTGTAATTACAACCCTAGGGGTAAAAAATGATGAGTGCACATCGGAATTGTTACATGCAACTCACCCATTTTCATACCTGCATATGCTAGTCATTTTGTGCGTTATTACCCTAGTTGATAACCCTTCAACATGTTTTTCTGTTGGGCCTTATTTAGTGACTATTTGTTATGGTTCAAGGTCACAATATTGACAAATTACTAAGAGGACCCCTAAAACGCAATTCCTCATGGCATCGTGAAATGTTATCTGAACAAGTTGGATATGATGAGATTCAGGTCATATTGAGTGGTTGAGATCAGTGTCGAGCAATATGCTGTGATTCGATGATGATGATTCAAATGACTCGACTAAGTTTGAGACGTTTCTGAGGTAAACATGAGTTGAGCAAGACATAGGATTTACAGGACAAAATGTCTATCAATCTTAGAATGGGATGTGTTGTTTCGGATATGACAAGGTCAAGTTACATTGGTATCGTCTAATAGTTTGAATCATGCTATTTGTGACTGATTTTAGAATTTCTCTGTAGTCTGTAATAGTCCAGGAGAAAAAATAGGAAGAAGAGGCTGCTTTTAATTCACAGGTTTATTGTTTGAGGCATTTAGATTGGATTGGCCGATGGGGGAGCCCAATTAGAGTTATGGAAATGACATGTCATAGGATCTGAATACTCCGTCATTCAGGTGCTTTATTTCTTATCAATAGGATCTGAAATATCCCATATGCTCTCCATCCCCCTTTTCTTTTCATAGAAAATTGAGAAATGAATTGATATATTTAATGGAATCCATCGGGATTAATGGTGCTTGAACTCGTACTTCTGCCTTGACAGGTGGTAGTCTGAGTGAACTACAATCCCAGGAAAATTGGGCGAACAAGCTAAAAATTCTTTCTTTTTTATTTCTCTTTATCTGGCTGTTTAGTTTCGCTGAATTGTTACATCAACAGGAATAATTTTTTTTTGTCCATCTTTAGTTCCCAAATAGAACTAAAAATTGATGAAGAAAAGAAAGAAGGGGGCCAACAATAAAACAAACTATGGTTCTTGATGCATGTAAACTTGTCAATTAATATTCCTCAGGATTCAGAAACCTTGTGTTTTGGAACAGTGACAAAATAGAAAGGGGCTTTTAGATAGGAAACAAAGCTTTAGTAGGGCTGAGGTTTGTCTTGAACAACTACAGGGGAGCACAACTGCCTGGACCCTGCCCGTGTTGCCCTGCTTTGTTTATCTGCTCAATTTAATGTGTTTGACATGTACGTCTCTTCTGAAATTACCCAGTTTTTTTTTCAATCGAGGAATAGCTCCAAGCTATTTTGAATTTTTTATGAGTAGACATGAAACATGAAATGCATTGGAACAGGCATTTGATGTCAGTTGTTATTGCAACTTCAGTCATATATTTACCACTCCAACTAAGATATCCACACATATCATAGTTTTACATAGTCTGTATGTGATTGGGCGTGGCTTAAAAAGCTATATTTGGCTCCTAGAATTGCTGTTCTTAGCATCCTATTATGGCATCTTGTTTTGATATTTTGGTTGGGAAGTTCTGCTAATGCCAGAGGTTGATAATTTCTCAGAATTCTTGGATTTTAATTATTATTATTGTGCGTGGAGGGCTCCCGTGTTATGTGACTTTGCCTGTGTTGATCAGTTTTGAATGTTTCGCATGCAACTGTTTTGTGTGAAATTACTGGTTTTGTGCCACATTTTTCTGCATTTTCGTTCATCTTTACCCAATCAGTTTGTGACAAACTGCAGAAGGGAGGTTCAAGCTTTGCAACTACATGACAACTTGTTAGAACATTTCATGATCGATAACTGTCGGAACATCTCAATAGTTTGTCAAAGTTGATGAGTTATCTGTGGCAAGTTTGCAGATTAGTCTTGTTGTCTTAGTTGCAGAATGGTGCCTTATGTCTTTCAGGGGAATTGCATCTCAAGATTCAACTGCGTATGACCTATGTGTATATTGATATGTACCTAGCATTCTTTCTCGCGGGAACTGTACGAGGGCTCTGCACATGCGTGCCTTGGGACTAGCCTCTCACTGTATTGCACCGACCCTTGATGCGATAACTGGTTAAGTGTTCCTAATAAAGGTGAATCAGCTGTGCTTCCAAATTAGGGGTGTTCATGGCCTGTTTACTACGGGTTTTGTTACCCGGTCCGGAAAAAAATAGCACCCGAAATTCAATAGATCCGATAGTTGACCCACCCAAGCTCAAACCCAATATCTGTAATTAGAGGACTTGAGTTTGCCTCTAAATTCATTACTTGGCTCGAAGTCCGGCCCAAAAGTCCACCTGTCAAGTCCGCTCGTGAAGCCCAACACGCCTACATAGTCTGTCCATCCTTCATTTGAAAAAAAGTTACACTTTTAGATCATTAAATTTGAAACTTTGAAATAAATCTCCTAATGTCGGAATTTGGAGTTTTAAAAATTTAGATACTATAAATAATGTTTTATTTTATTTTTCATGTATTAAGCATACAAGTTTTAAATGGTAGAGTAATACAAATTATAGATAAGTGAGTAGGTGTCAACTTAATTGAGATGTATTCATTCTATTTGATGTAGGTCATCTCCTAATTAAAAATAAAATTATTTATTATTTTATTTTTATTCATTTTGATTTTATTTTTGATTCAAAAATATAATTTACACAAATATTAAATTATAAAAATATTTATTATTTTTAAATAAAATTGTATATAAAAAAGCTCACGAGAAGGTCTATCCAATAGGCTCACGGGTTGAACTGCGGATAGTTTATCCTTATCTGAACTCCGACTTGGCCCATTCGATAAATCATCTGGGTAAGGACTTTGGCCTATACTATCTAAGACTAACTTGACAAAAATTTTACAGGCGTAACCTGGCCCGTCCTATGAACACCCCTATTCCAAATAAAGAATAGTGGGTGGTAAGGGTGGAAATTTGTTACCCAACAGGGCAACACGAAACGTCCTCTAAAGAAAATATTTGGGCTGACTAGTTTTCAAAACAAATTCTATGACTTGTAAAAGAAACAACAAAAGGGGTCATATTAGTGTTATGCATGAATAATTCCGATTTGGCTCATAAACCAATCTAACTAAGCATAGTAGAAATATGTATGATTTGAGATGAATCACTCTCATAATAAAGACTTTTTAACCTCCGTACTTAGAAAAGTCGGACATCTCTTTTAGGGAAGGAAGAGGACAGTGGTAAAATTACAAGGAACAAAATGAGACTAAATATTCTTATCTTTTTATCTTATATATTACATGATGTGATGTGGTATGTCAGACCAATCAAAAATAGACATGTGGTGCATTCTATTAATAATGATAGAAGTAATGATTTGCATAATATGGTATACTCGGCCTCAGAGCTTCGTAGGGAAGATGAGCACTAAAATCCCCTCGGTGCTTACGAAGTGCTTTTGGGAATTTCATACCAAGCGATGCTGTCCTTGGTGTTGTCAAAAGAAATGCACTAAGGTCTCTTCGGTGTTACTATGGACGTCGGCGATAGATCTTCTCGGTATATACCAAAGATTGTTAAGATCGAGAGAGTTGGGATATCGACAGAGAGTAGGCCAATGGGGTGAGAAACAATTGACTTTACACGTCAACCACGTCAGTCGGCATGTTTGAAGACAACTAGTTTTGCACTAGTAATGCCCACTTAGGAATAAACGAAGGATTGTCTATCAGGTGGCATGGTCTCACTATCCCATGTGGGTAGTTCCAACAGGATCATTAGGACCAATCATGAAAGATGTATTTAAGGATGCAATTAATGCTCTTCATGAGCATACGACAAGCGAATTATAAGCATTTAATGCTCGAGGGCCAAAGACACGAAGGACATTGATCCCTCGATGCACTATGTGATGTCGGATATTTACTCCCGCAGAGCATGTTGCTTAACGTCAAATCTCGCAGTGAATGCTCAGCACAAGTATTAATGATCGACAAGTATTCGAATGTTGAGGGGTTAATGTCATTAATGCATGTCTAATTGACATGTTTGCAAGGGATCAAGTATTGAAGTCAAAGGGGTGCCTTACTCAATGCCTAGCCGCCGAACGAGGTCAAAAAGACGTCCACTGTGAGCCAATTAGGGGCCCTCTCGCCAAAAAAGATCGTACAGATGTACTCGACAAAACGCATTTGTCTACCAAGAAAGTATAAACAACACTCTAAAGTAAAAATAGACGGCACGCTCTCAAAACTCTATATTGAACATTGTGTCATCTTCTTTCCTCATAAACTAACTTAAGCATCGAAGGGAAATCGTCGAAGACACCTCCAGCCTCTCTTCTAACCTTTCTTCATGATCCGCAATTTTTCTTCGTCCCTAAGCTTTATAGCAAATTTCGAGTGTTGGTAGAAGTATTGCTATCTCAATATTGTGCAAGAAATCACCGGCACAATAAGAATGCAAAATCAAATAAATGAAAAGAACTAATTAAAAAAAAAGAAAGTATCAACAGATTGTAAAATGAGAGGTTGTTTTTTTTTTTTTAATTTGTTTTTGCTGGTTGTCATCCTTAGTTCACAAGCCCTCTGTTTTATTATTTTTTTCTTAAGACATTAGTATGGATGATTATTAGTAATTAATGAGGTCTCCATGGAATAATGCTAACTCCAGGTCAGGGGAGCTCTCCTCCTCCATTATTTGATACAAGACATGTCAAATTGACCCTGAAGAGATAATTAGTTTTACTCCTGTTTAGTAAAAGCCAAATAAAAAAAGTCTGATGGGCTTCTTAAAATGCCTTACCACACAATCTAATGATAAAAATCATATTATCAAGATTCAATCACATCATCGTCTAATTAGTTTTCAATCTATTGCCGTTCCAATATATATAGCCATTCAATGTAAAAAAGATGTTTTAAGAGTGACCGTTGAAATCATATTTTGAGAACACATTTTTTCGAGTTTAAATCACGTTTACGTGGAAATCACAATAACTTGAGAAATAAGTTAGAAATTAATGTAACCAAGAAATAAAGTCATAAATTACAATAATTCGGGTAAAATAAAATTCTAGAAAATCTGCGTAGNGTACTTAGAAAAGTCGGACATCTCTTTTAGGGAAGGAAGAGGACAGTGGTAAAATTACAAGGAACAAAATGAGACTAAATATTCTTATCTTTTTATCTTATATATTACATGATGTGATGTGGTATGTCAGACCAATCAAAAATAGACATGTGGTGCATTCTATTAATAATGATAGAAGTAATGATTTGCATAATATGGTATACTCGGCCTCAGAGCTTCGTAGGGAAGATGAGCACTAAAATCCCCTCGGTGCTTACGAAGTGCTTTTGGGAATTTCATACCAAGCGATGCTGTCCTTGGTGTTGTCAAAAGAAATGCACTAAGGTCTCTTCGGTGTTACTATGGACGTCGGCGATAGATCTTCTCGGTATATACCAAAGATTGTTAAGATCGAGAGAGTTGGGATATCGACAGAGAGTAGGCCAATGGGGTGAGAAACAATTGACTTTACACGTCAACCACGTCAGTCGGCATGTTTGAAGACAACTAGTTTTGCACTAGTAATGCCCACTTAGGAATAAACGAAGGATTGTCTATCAGGTGGCATGGTCTCACTATCCCATGTGGGTAGTTCCAACAGGATCATTAGGACCAATCATGAAAGATGTATTTAAGGATGCAATTAATGCTCTTCATGAGCATACGACAAGCGAATTATAAGCATTTAATGCTCGAGGGCCAAAGACACGAAGGACATTGATCCCTCGATGCACTATGTGATGTCGGATATTTACTCCCGCAGAGCATGTTGCTTAACGTCAAATCTCGCAGTGAATGCGCAGCACAAGTATTAATGATCGACAAGTATTCGAATGTTGAGGGGTTAATGTCATTAATGCATGTCTAATTGACATGTTTGCAAGGGATCAAGTATTGAGGTCAAAGGGGTGCCTTACTCAATGCCTAGCCGCCGAACGAGGTCAAAAAGACGCCCACTGTGAGCCAATTAGGGGCCCTCTCGCCAAAAAGGATCATACAANCAAGTATTGAAGTCAAAGGGGTGCCTTACTCAATGCCTAGCCGCCGAACGAGGTCAAAAAGACGTCCACTGTGAGCCAATTAGGGGCCCTCTCGCCAAAAAAGATCGTACAGATGTACTCGACAAAACGCATTTGTCTACCAAGAAAGTATAAACAACACTCTAAAGTAAAAATAGACGGCACGCTCTCAAAACTCTATATTGAACATTGTGTCATCTTCTTTCCTCATAAACTAACTTAAGCATCGAAGGGAAATCGTCGAAGACACCTCCAGCCTCTCTTCTAACCTTTCTTCATGATCCGCAATTTTTCTTCGTCCCTAAGCTTTATAGCAAATTTCGAGTGTTGGTAGAAGTATTGCTATCTCAATATTGTGCAAGAAATCACCGGCACAATAAGAATGCAAAATCAAATAAATGAAAAGAACTAACTAAAAAAAAAGAAAGTATCAACAGATTGTAAAATGAGAGGTTTTTTTTTTTTTTTTAATTTGTTTTTGCTGGTTGTCATCCTTAGTTCACAAGCCCTCTGTTTTTTTATTTTTTTCTTAAGACATTAGTATGGATGATTATTAGTAATTAATGAGGTCTCCATGGAATAATGCTAACTCCAGGTCAGGGGAGCTCTCCTCCTCCATTATTTGATACAAGACATGTCAAATTGACCCTGAAGAGATAATTAGTTTTACTCCTGTTTAGTAAAAGCCAAATAAAAAAAGTCTGATGGGCTTCTTAAAATGCCTTACCACACAATCTAATGATAAAAATCATATTATCAAGATTCAATCACATCATCGTCTAATTAGTTTTCAATCTATTGCCGTTCCAACATATATAGCCATTCAATGTAAAAAAGATGTTTTAAGAGTGACCGTTGAAATCATATTTTGAGAACACATTTTTTCGAGTTTAAATCACGTTTACGTGGAAATCACAATAACTTGAGAAATAAGTTAGAAATTAATGTAACCAAGAAATAAAGTCATAAATTACAATAATTCGGGTAAAATAAAATTCTAGAAAATCTGCGTAGATTCAGAGAGTCAAACACTGGCGTCACGATACAACCTTGCTTATCCCCTATACTATGGAATAGGCACAGGTGCTAAACTAGACACATAAACTACCAAGTGCTATACCTCAGCACCACTATAACAAAATCCGCACAGGAACTAAAGAATTTTAGATCTAATTATCCAGATTGAACATACCCATTATGACAACTTGCTCTTCTGAGATGCCCAAGATTTGTAGTTTTCAACCTCAATTTTGACATAATCTGATCAGCCAATCTTCTTCCCACTCAAAATCAGCTGTGTCGTGTTTACACTTCCAGAGTTTGCAAATAGCTATACTTTACTGGAACTAAGCAGAACACGTTAAATTCGGCCATCGCACGTCCTCACTCTCTAATATCCCCTCATCTATTTGGTCCAATCAGTCGTATGGCCGAAGCAGATAGTCCTAAAACAGAGTAGCTGTTAAAAAGAATCCGGTAAAAAAATGCTATATCTGAAATCCTTACAATAAAATTGAATTTTCATTAATTCATGTGCATTAGCTTCTATCTAACATGAATAAATGGAACTATTCCGAAAAATGCAAATGTTATAGGGCTGCTAGGATTTTGCAGGAATTTAATTTGAGGGAAAGATATAGAATAAATCATAGAGAAGCAAGAAAGTATATTTTCCCATATAGATGCAGAAAGAGAAATTTTACAAACAAACACTGATGCATAGAATCTCGGATTGCTCACCAGACTTTTTCTCTCCTTTTTTTCTGCTCTCATTTACACCACTCCATGGCAGAAACTGCAGAGAACACTATTCATATACTGCAGTCCTTTTAGAGCCGAATATACTGTTCATGGATCAAATTATGTCATCCTTGCCACCACATCCTGAGAAAACTGCTTGATGTAAACCACCTCTGCTACAATCTCTTCAAGGCAGTCACCACCAGATCCAAAAGTAAATGATTCTGAAGACGAGCACAAATATCAGAAAAGTTGGGCCAGCTAAAGGTGGCAGTAACTGGCCACCATGAAGGACCTGTTCAATGTGAGGCAACCCATTCAGGTAACAGTTGCAGCATACCAGTGGCAATAAATTATAGGCAATAGAGAGCAGTAAAGATTAAAACACCTTAAAGGGTAACATAAAGGTTGAAATTAATTTTAGCCAAAACCAAATGCTTCCTTTTTTTCCCCTGAATCAGGATTTGGGCCACAGAATAGAATAGCTTACAACATTTCATTATCCATGCTTCCTTTTCCTTTGGCCCCTCCCAATGGAGGAGGAAACTACCGTGTACCTTGAATTAACAAGCTCCCGAGGAATAGCAGCCCCAGATGATTTCAGGGTTTCAACCAACTCAGGAAACATTTTCTTGTTCTCCTCATTGACAAAGACAATGGCTGTACCCTCCTCTCCCAATCTAGAGGCCCTTCCAATCTGATGTATATACTCCTTAATGGAATTTGGCATGTCAAACACAATAACCTGTCTCACCCCTAGAAGATCAACTCCTCTGCCCAATACTCCTGTAGCCACAACCACGGGAACTTCTCCAACCAAAAATGACCTTAAAATTTCTCTTCTCTCCTTCATGGGCTTCTCTCCATGGATCGATAGAGCTTTCACCCCAGTGGTGACTGTTACTGCTTCGGAGAGGAGATCTGCACCAAGTCTTGAACCCACAAATACTACAAGTGGTGGCCTAAAATGCTGCTTGCTCATCAATATGTCAAAAAGCTTTTTCTTTTTTTGCTTTGACTCCACCCAAATTGGCAGCTGCTTCACAGCCACATTAGGTTTGTTTGGCTTCCCAATGGAAACAACAGTTATATCTTTCGCCATTGAGCTTGCCAGCTTCTCAACTACCTTTGGAATTGTTGCAGAATACATCAAGACTTGGGGTTGAGATAAAGCCCTAAATATCTGCATTACTTGCTCGTGGAATCCCCTTTGAAGCATGCAGTCCACTTCATCAAGAACAAGAATTGATATTGCATCTAATTCTATATCATACTTGATTAAAAGATCAATCAGCCTTCCTGGAGTTCCAACAATCAATGACACTCCCTGCTGGATGCGGTGGATTTGTCCAGCCATAGCATCACCACCAACAACTAGTGCAGTTTTAAAGGGTAAACCCTTTCCAAGCAACTTGGCTTGCTCCTCTACCTGTATGCAGAGCTCTCTAGTTGGAGAAAGTATCATTGCTAATGGTTTTTTCTCAGTTGGTAACTGCCCACAGTGAATCTTTGCACAGTATGAAACTATAGGAACCAAAAAGGAACAGGTTTTTCCTGAACCAGTCTCAGCTGAAACGAGCAGGCTTTGGCCAATCAAAGCAGCTGGGATTGCTTGCATTTGGACCGGTGTCGGCATCTCATATCCAGCAGCTTCTATGTTTTGGAGGAGCTTCTGAGGAAGACTGCAAGAAGTGAAAGACAAGACGGGTGCCGGAACAGAGCCACCCCTCACAGAGATTTCTAGTTTTCTCCTGAGTGATTCAGTCTGGTCATTAGTTAAAGATCGAGTTTCTGAATTATCATTTGCATCTCTGACATAAAAACACTCATCAGTTGTGGGTAATCTCATAGGTGGTGGGCGATCAACCAGTGACACTGACTTGGCAATCCTACATAGGAGAATTTTCTTACATTCCAGGCTGCAAATGTCATCCTCAGTCTCATCACAAACATATTCCCCGTAGCGGCCACATACAACACATCTAGGTTCCCCTGGCAGGGCTTCTCTCTGATGCCAACACCGTTCCTTCACATCATCCTCTGCAGCAGACACTATATTAACAAATATGTAAGTTTGTGGAATGCTAATTGCAGTGCAAGGTAATTCTTGGAATGCCAAAATAGAATAAGTTGGATTTTTAAATCATAAGCACGAAAGTGAAGTAAAAGAATATTGGTTGTCATACTGAAATCAAGTGAAGAAGGAGGACCCATGTCTTGTTTGAACCAACCAACTCATTAACAACCAGAGAGATATTCATATAAGGCAATCATCCAGATTTACTAACATATGCAACAAATTACTATTGGCCTAGAAATAATATAACATAATCTGAATCAAGAAGTTCGGACCAAAAAAAAAGAGAGAAAAAACACTAGTTAAAAGCATATTGGCTCAAATGTGATGCACTCTGAAAACAAAAGAAATGGACTCATGGTGGAGGAGAATTTAAGAATAATAATGGTTGGAGTTCAGCTGTATTACCTGGGACTTCATTACCAGCCACTGCTATTATCGAACTTTCACATTGGTTAGCCTTGTCCCCGTTTCCCATGGTTTGAACTTGATACAAGTCAAAAACAGTAGGGCACTAGAATCATTTGAGTACGACCAGTTCTAAGAACTGCAATAAATATGTAGAAAAGAAGAGCCAATGAATATATGACTTTACTTACCAAAAAAAAAAATATGTGACTTTACATAACCCCAAAATAAACAAAGTATATGACTTCCCAAATGCAGATGATTACATAGTCTAGAAGATTCCATAACCTTTACATAAATTGCTGATCTAGAAGTCATTGCTAAATGACAGATACTGTGTTTTAGCCCAATACTAAACAGGTAAAGAAAAGTCACACTGAACTTCCATTCATGCAACTTTACATTCATGCAAGCACAAATTAGTAGAGAATAATAAAACCAAAATAATAAACTATTATAAAACCAGAACAATTAATTCAATATGGCAACAAATTTCATTCAAACAAAAATACGAATGTAATTTGTAAACCCAAATTCCAAGTCAACCTTGTGTTAGCCCAGATCAAAGCGATTAAGAACAAAAATAAAATAAAACCCTGGACTTCAAACTTGTCTATAATACTGAAGGTAAAAAAAACGTTGCTTCTTCATACCCCATACTTACACCTCATCCAAAAAACTTCCTACTTTAAACAAACAAATGTCCTTGAAAATATCTCTACATTGTCCAACCCGGTTGCACCTTAAAGTAGCAGATGATGAAGCACAATGCTAAGAGGACAAGGAGACTGGTCGTTCCTAAGCACCATTCATTCTCCATGTATCCTCACACAAGCAGTTTTACCATACACAACAATAACGTGAAGCCCAAAACTTTGGCATCTTTGTTCTAAGAAGCACGGATACATCACAACACGGATATGCAGACACGACATTTGTTTAAAAAGTAGGAAGGGACACGGTGTAAATATGCTATAGATAATTGTGTTTTATATATAAAATTACATAATTTATCACAAATAAAGTAAAAATGATATATTATGCATTAAAATTTTAGTACTTTATGATAAGTAATGTTATGTCTAGCTCACACTAGTGTGAATTTTAAGACTAACATCATAATATCCAATAATCATCAATTTTTTCGTAGACGTGTACCATACATATATAATTTAAATGATTGCTTTTTTTAAAATTTTGTATGTTTCTTTTATTATTTTTACTATATTTTAAGTACAACTTTAACATGTCTACTCTTCGTAATTATATGTTCTCATAGTATAAGATTAAGTAGTCAAATTTTTAAGCTTTATTAACCACATGTGACAATACATGTTTATTGTTTACTAGTAGACATAGCTTAAAGAAGTGTTGGAAACGTCACCAAATAAGTGTCTGACACGTATGTCAGAGAATATCCGAAGAGTGTCGGTGTCCAACACGTATACGTCTCCTTCTTCAGAGTGTCCATGCTTCATAGTCTTTGCTCAAGCAAGCCATGTGACAGTTGAAAACTCTAATACACATCCAAAAATTTAGATTGCTCCTTATTAAATTCAAATGAGTTCTTCAACCAATTTTGTGCCCTCAAGCAATTGTTCAAGTGCGGGTGCTCAAAGCTTAAGAATGTGATAAGCTTAAATGATCCCAAATCAACTACTCAAGTAGTTCAGACCAACTATGCAAATCGCATTGGCCTTTTAGTCTTGATATTACGTGTACATGATGACAATTTAATTAGTAACTTGCAACAAGTGAATGAGGACTCCCCACTTGGCATAATTTAAAAAACAATACCATCAAATTCTCATGCATTCAGGACCCCAATCCTCTCTCTTTCTTTCATAGCATTGCATTAGCTCATGAGTTATGAAGCACAAACATGGATACGAGATATGAAGACACAAGAAATTAATACATGAAAGTCATTATTTTAAGTTAAAAAAAATCTTATATCCAATGTTCAAGTATAAATTTTGAACAAATAAATCATTGTAATCAATAATCACCGATGTTATAATTTTCTCTTCTTCCCAAGCCATATTTTTAAACAAAATCTTTATGTTTCTTCTGTTTTTTTGAATAAATTTCAACACCATTAGCCTAACAATTAAACTTTTTTCCAGGATATAATCACCAAAATTACTTTTTCAATACGAAAAACAAAAATGTTCACATTTGACACAGATTTGTCACTTTTTTAGAAATATCCATGTTGTTAGCTCACAACAATAAATATGTTGCAGTTACGCCAAAATAGTAATGCACTGGAAAGATAATATATTTAATAGAATTTTGAACTCACACTACTTGCGCTCCCCTTCCACATGAGAACTGTTTCACCACTTCACTACAATAAAGGTGACCTCTCAATACATTTATCTTTCTCATTTTCGGCTATCCTCATCTTTGCAACACCTCCAAGCTGAATATTCCTTTGTTAACACTTCCAGACACTGGTTTCCTATTGCACTTGACCAAAGATTGTTGATGGGTTATTATATCGCGAGTCTCAAACATTTAGTGTTAACTTCAACTTCACAAAACTATATTGTTTTCTAATCCATCATCTGCTTATCGGTCCAAAATCCAAGCATCAGTTTCAAATTATTTACACATACATCGATTAATTCTTTTAGCCAACCCAAGGTGGTTTGCTGGCATTTTTAACAGTAAATATTCAACCCCACGAAGCAGAACCAGTTTTATAGCAATACAAAACAATATAACTTGCACAAGCAGTAGCCAATGGCCAAAATAAAGCTGGGAAGTTCTGTTCTGTTCTATATTCTTTTTCGATTCAATGGGCAACATACAGTTCTGATCTTGCTTCCTAAAGCTTAAACAATTGTCACTAGCACTCTAGTATCTAATTGCTCAAACTATCATTGATGTAGCACTGACCAAATGGTTTAGGCTGGCTGCTGGTCACCTAATGTAACTTCCTTTATCTATATATATATATATATATATATATATATATAGAGAGAGAGAGAGAGAGTGCATAGCGATAAGATACCAAATTTGGCATGTGGGTCAGACTCATAGCGCAGAAGTCATTTGATCAAACGCCAAACCCTAGAGGCTACCAGCACAGACATTGGTCTGAGCCTGCCCAGAGCACCATTATTTTTGGATTGGTACAGTAGTAAGGGAATTACCTAGATGCCAGAAACTAGAACAAAACAAGGCCATAAAACAAATAAAATTCAAAATTTCCACATAAATTCACAGGTACATACTAGTTGATTCACTGGAATTAGGGGCCAACACAAACTTGTTTTTTGAATGAACCTTTTCTGGTTCAAAAAAGAAAAAAAAGAACTTTCCATATAAGTAATTGGGTTGAGTCACACAATTCAAGAAATGAACCCAGATAAATACTACGGTCATTATTCAACTATATACATTCAAATTATGCATATATATATATATATATATATATATATATACTAGTTATTGCCCGTGCCCGTGTCTGAAGGTATTGTACGACAGAAAAAAAATCAAATAATAAAAATGAGCATTAGCAAGAGAAAAAAGCGGTGCACATAATGATAACAATAAATATTTAGAGCCGATGAATATATAAAAAATGTACAAAATTACCTCTAAAAACATAACTCAAAAAATTTAAACATATACACAGTTTACATATTTTATCATTGTACCTTAAAAAACTATTACTCATTACATATTATTAATTTGCCCATAGTAGTAAAAAAAATTAATTAAGATGCATATCAAATAAAAGAATGCTTTTTGAGATCAAATAACCACTCTCTCCATATGGTTAAAGTGCAAATCCTCATTCTCAATCAACTTGATCTTGCATATAACTATTATTTTTCAAATACAAATGCACCCCATAGAAATAGATATAAAAGAAATTACGAAGAATCAAAGCATTCAAGAGCCTGTCGAAAAAATTGCTCGAAAATAACATTGATTCTTTAAATAACTTGAATTCCAGTAAGTTCCAGGCATTAAAAGTGTACCCAACAAACTATTGAAGCACTATTGCATTTGAAGTAATTAAAATAATTAAAACCAATCCCCCTCCCCTCTCATTTCTCTCTCTTACCTCAAAACTCCCAAACCCACATATTCATTGGCAACAAAATTGAAACAAAATGCAACAAACCGAAGTGGTCAAGAATATCATAGTATGAGTACATCGAACCCAATCTGTAATTGCACGATTCATTTGTGATTGTACTTATTCTGCATCACTATCCTGAATATCCGTGCATCAATACGTATGCGATACTGCAAGTTAGGTGATTGCACAACCACCTAGTTTTTTAGAAAGAGAAAAAAAAATATTGGTCAAATATATTACTTAAAAAAATTGCATACTTCATTGCAACAATATAAGATTTCAGTTGTGGTGTAATTAGTTGTGTTAAACATAAAACCAAAGTTTAAGAAAAGAGCATTGTAGTTAGAAACAATGACCTTCCATAAGTTACTTAATAGAAGATTTTTCAATTTATGCACTTAGAAAAATATAGGCCACGTACATAACCAAAAAACTGGACATTAGCATGAGAAAAATGACTCACTTAATGCATTTAGGAGACTTCGTTTTCATGAAAAAATTCAAATGCACAAAAAAACAATTCAAAAGAGAAGTCATACAATAGTACAAATAAATGATATAGGCAAAAATAGCAACATAGCAAGAACAAAAAGTAAAAAATAGGCCCATATACTAATTTTTGTGAACTGAAGCAATCATTTAAACTCAAACATAACTTGAAGACCAAAAGACCCAAGTTTATAATGCACTAAAAGATTGTCTTCTAATTTAAAGCCAAAAAAGAGAAAGAACAAACTAAAAATCAAGGCTATAAACACAATTTCATAAAATATTAGGCAAGCATAACAATCAAGGCTATAAACCCTCTGTACCACCCCTTACATAACCAAAGAGTAAATAAATGTACCAAATAGCCTTTCACTTGCCTGAATCCTTCAATTACACATGAAATAGTTCAAACCCACTTCTAAAAAGCTAAAAAAACATTACATTAGAGGCCATTAAAATAAGCAAAATTATTCAAATCACAGTCCTATTCAATCTTCAAAATCTTTAGAGGATCTAGTACTGAAATAAAAGTCCTCATGTCAAGGAAGCCC